GCTGAACCGAAATCCCTGTCTTTGAAAACATCAAAATCCGGTTTTTATCTGCATCTGATATGGACCTATATGCAGGAAGAAAACGAACTTGATTCGGTTCCAAGAGTTCATGATTGTGGTGATTTGCGAAACCCGTAACACGCCATTCCGTCAAACCTAATTCAGTAATTTTACTGATCCTTAAGTACGATTGACAACCGCAACGAGAAGATTTTCTGTTCCTCTGAGGTTTTCCTTCACTTAAAGGCTTGGTGGGGGTATTACCAGCTCGGTGGCAAACAAAGTACCGTCTAGTTAGTCCTCTGCCAACTCCATCTTTACCTTCTGTCCTGTGACGACGTATTGAGAATCCACAACGCTTTGCAAATCCACTGTAGTACTCATAAGCAGCATCATGTGTAGGAAATCTTTGCCCGATATATGGAATGGCATCATCAGCTGTATCTACCGAGAGGGTAGTTCCATCTGGTGATTCCTCCGCACTGCTGGCTTCATCTAATGATAAAGAATGATGGTGATGATGATGATCTGAGGGGTCATCATACAGGAGCATCATCTGCCCACCATCATCAGACATTTTCCTCCTAACGTTTACCACCCTGGGTTCAAAACAATTTACCTGACAAGAACGATATGATCCGAAACTAAGTTAGGGGCCTCAGATCAGAATGATACGCAAGCACGTTAAACCGTACAACCTATTAGCACATGACAAGATTCAAGATAATATATTACTGAGACAACAATGCTCACAATCACATCTAGGAAAATTAGTACAACCCTCTAATCCAGCAAGGAAACCCTGCAACTATACAGCAAAAACAGCTATTCTGAAATGAAATATGGACCTGAATGTCGACTGGATCAAATGAAATTTTGAATAAAAGTCATCCGGTTGCTGTTTAGAAAGTTGTTAGTACACAATGAACTAGCAATTGACATATAGACAATTCAGAATCTGCTCAACCACAAATCCTCAAGCAGAGGATAAAACCCACAAAGGTGAAAGGTAACGAACGACCAGTAAGTACCCAACAGTTCCAATGACACAGTAACATGTTTCAGAATCAGATTCACCAAAAAGAAGTAACCGGTTACATACTAATACACGAATTTCATTTATTTCTCAAACATATATCATCGAAAGACAGAGGAAACAATACTTGAACACCGGTACTCAACCGAAATTTTCAGAATCAAACATATCATAATGAACACTGCAGCCATCCAATGTTCACAAACACAGACGTAGTGCCTCAATATTTCTAGCTATAGTAAAGCTAAAAGCAACAATCGGAAGAACATCTAAATCAAATCTAGGGAAAAAATATGGAACGTAAATCAAGAAACCGAAGTTTAATTTCTTCTTTCTGCCGAGAAAAACAGAGTACTTCAACACGGAGTACTTAGCATATTTAATCTAAAAGTATCATAATCTAAGCTCGTTAGAACAATAAAGATATAAATTTCGGTATCCCCGCAAAAAGGAGAAGGGACTATTCTTTTGTCAGCCTAAAATACTTGAATTCCACCAAACACCAAAACCACTCTGAGAATCGACCAATGCCCATCACCAGAAATCGAAATCTGGAAGATGGGTTTCATAATTCCATCACCAAGATTGAAAATTGAGAAGTCGATCTGCTGGAAAAGTTACATATTGCACATAATTAAGAGTAAGAACTCTCATAATTTATCTTCCCATTTCTTGCATCACAATCACCGAAGATACGAATGCAACAAAGACAATGTCTGGGAATTTTAAAATTTTGGAGGCAGAGGATATGCAGAGAGAGAGAGAGAGAGAGAGAGAGAGAGAGAGAAGTGTACTGAATTCTGACGCTGAACTGAAGAAGGAAACAGTACTCTCTGAAGGAGAAAGCCCTAATTTGCGCTGGGAGGTGAAGAGAGCCTCTTTGTGTCTCTGGCGCACTCTTGTTATCTTACGCCTCACCTATTCCTCCTTAAAAATAAGATTATCCCTATTCTAGAATACAGTTATACCCGTCCCCAAACATTCCCCTCATGTAGACGCAAAAACGAAGCCGTTGTTTATATCTCCACAAGAGTTTTTTTTTATTATGATAATGAGAAGATTCACTTGCCCACTTAATTCCCTTGAAACCGGAATCAATCTTTTTTTTTTGTTAATCAAAACCGGAATCAATCTGTTTTTTTGTTAATCAAAATCGAAATCAATCTTTAGTTATATAATTAATTACGTCTCTTTTCTACCAGTGTAATTGAACACAGGAAAAAACAGTAAAAAAAATAACCACAAGAATTTAAAGATTATTTGTTGAAAAGTATCTGTATTTCATTTCGGAAAACCTTGGCACAACTTTTTCTTTTAATAAATATTTCACTTTTCATGTCAAGAGACTTAAAAAAAAAATACCCCCAAGTAAAACTGTATAGATTAAAAATTAAAGGCTGAACTAAAACAAATCAAATGCAACATTTAACATGTCTCCTTCGTCCTCCTAGTTTGAAGCCAAAATCAATGGATAAGATACATAAAGATGTCTTTTGACGTGATCTAATTGGGTTATACAGATTTATTAGGTTAATCCAAATCAAATAAAAAAACTATATGGATTGGGTTAACCTATAAAACCTAATTAATTCAATTAAATCAATTATTTTAGAAAAAATATATAAAATAAACATGATCGAGATGAATATGTTGCGATAAATGTGCGGATATAAAAGAATTTATAAATAAATATCATATTAATATATGAACTGGTAAAAAAATATTGAATAAATACACAAATTATAAAAATTTCAAATAAATATATAAAACTCTTTCTAACTTCTATATTTTAGTCTAAACTTTTAAAAAATATTGAAAAATAAATAATAAACTTTTAAATAAATTTAAAAAACTCATGAAATTAAATCCTAAAATTTTAAACTTCCAAATACCACAATAATATGGCAGTTTTTGGAAACTATTTAAAAGTTTAAGTTTTAATGTAGAAGTTCAAAAAATTTGTGTATTTGTTTAAAGTTTCTACATATACACATCCACATATATAACTAACCTCGCAACAATGATATGGAAGCCCAAAAATCTTTAACGTTAAGCATTGTCTCCTACTACTAGTGACAAAAACCTTGAAACAGGAACCGGAAGCAAACTCCCCACACTGTTGTGAATAAACATTGATGCGATACAGCAACTACTGTTTTGGCTGGAACCAAGTTTCTCTGTGGTCAATTAATTCCTCTTGATCTTGGAGAATGTTCCCGTCTCCGAGAAGTATGTGCTCTGAGTTCCACTTCCTAGTTGGTTCATAACTGCTTGTGGGTTCGACAGCTCGATTCCCTACAAAGAGATGTCCATATTGTTTTACCATGTCCAGGAAAAAGCTCACACAACTTTCTGATAGATGGATTGAATGGGGCAATCGTTAATTCGTGAATTTCTTACGCTGCGGTTCAAATGAATCGTTAATTCGTGTACCTACAAGGTTGTTGTCGGTGACGGGATTAAAAAAACGAGGAAAGATGTTTACCTGGACAGGGGTGAAGGCCAAACTCGAGGTCAAACCAGAGGTCATGCCACTGCTTCCATAACTTTTCTCCTTAAACCTGTAAAAGCCATTTGATGACCATAAACCAACATCTCAGTCAAATTGCTGATCAGAATGGATATATGATTCAGACCATTACCTTTTCGCAACTTTAGCAGAAAGTTTAAGTTTGCTGGGAACACTGGATACACGTAGCTTGTTGCTCCCAGCTTGTCCAAGCATTCCATAACCTTCCCCTAATCCATCACCTAATCATCCAGAGCATATTGATAACTTGCCTCAGTGTTGCAATGTATATCACGAAACCGAGGCACGAAATGATTTCGACCCCTTCAACTAAATATTAGAGATACAAAATTTTACCTAACGAGCTCTCTTCAGGCACACCGAATGCCATCCTGTTGGCTAGTTTCCTCATGTCCGTCACAGCGTACCTAAGACAAAAAGAAAAAGTAAAGGGTAAGAATTCAGTTGGTAAATGCTACATGGCACAAAGAATAGGAGTGAAAACAGACCTTTCTTTCATCTTTCTTAGCCGGCGACCACCTCTTCGTTTTTTAGGCTCAGAATCAGGAACAGGAAGAGGCTTAGGTTGCTTAGCAGGTGGGGGTTCTTGCCACTTGTCAATCTTCTTACGAATCTCTTCCCTCAAGCCTCTTCCATTTGCCCCAGACAGGTCTCCTCTAATCGCGTCAACTCTTGCTGCCAACGTTGATTTTGCAGCCAAGAGCCTGCAGGCACGCATCCTAAGCGCAGGAGGTGTGCTTTGAAATACTTCTGTCTGCTCCAGGAAACCCACACGGAATTGAGATGTCGCGGTAGAGAATCCGGCAAGGTTCTTCTTCTTGTGGCCCAGAAGCTGAACATTACAGGCAGGCATTTTGGCTAGTGCTGACAACCCTCCAGCAATCCCCATGAGTTTTGCTGCGACAGCACTTCCAACAATGGCAGAGAGATTTGGAGCAATGTATCCCATTCTACTTTCAACAAAGTCAAGAACCTTTTTCCTTGCAGAATCAAGCTCGAGAGCACGATCACATGCTTCTATGGTCTTCTGCAATACATCCTCTGGAAGTGGCTTGCCGCTTGTGGTTGATGCGGTAACTGAAACAACCATAATGATAGCTGATGGAAGAAGACCTTCCAGATCAACAAGAGTTAAATCCACCTCATTCCCAATCTTTTTTACAACACGGGCATAGTCAATTGGATGATGTACCAGCGATTCAAGCTCTGGGAATTTCAGTCTGTACTTGTCACGGATGAAGTTGTGGATGATGACAACTTCATTTTCAATATCAACTGAAAGCTGATTGCAATCAACAATTAGCCGGTATTCAGGATCGTCTTCCAGAACAGCCTCTTTCCCTGCTCCATCAGAACCCTTTACAAGGGCCTCTTCCACTTTCTGAAACTCAAAATGAACATTAGTAAGATCCTAAACCCTAATCAGCACCAATAATAAAACTCAGAAAGAGTAGTGCACAGAAAAGTGACCCAAATACATCGATGGTGACCCGTGCTTATTCCTTGAGAAACAAGGAGAAATTTTCAATATGTTAACTGGAAATTGACATCATATGAAACAATTAAGGAATTATTCAAAAAACGGAGAAAGTACTCTCAAGAACACGCATGTAGGAGTAGACAGAAGTACAGTACGATAGCAAACTAAATCAGGATCCAAGAAATATGGAGATTTCAAATATAACCATGAAGCTGATCAGAAAACGGCAAGACAGAAGAGGGCACACAGGTTAACCAACCTGCATTATATCAGCATATCTCTGGGTTTTCTGAAGTTTGGAAACACTATCTAGGTCATCATAGTTAAGGGCTTCTAAGTCCGCCATGTCTGTATCAGTATCTTCTTCCTCATTTCCAGCATCAGCACCATTCTCTTCCTGATAAAAGCAGTTGAAAATGTTCTTTGTAAATCCAAACTCCGGCAAAGAAAGATACAATTAAATCATTGGGAAACAAACAAGAAACACTCGCCATTTCAGCTTCATTGTCGGACAACTCCTCGAGGTCCGCAAGGAAAGAATCCTCAAGAGTTGCCTGCAATAGGTCCAAAAAAAAAACACACTTAATAAGAGCAAGCTTCTAAAGAGGTTCATAACATACATCGGTAGCTCCACGTCCAAAGGACAAGAAAAGACAAAGTCTACGGAGAGAATCCTTTCCAAAGTTCCAAAGACACAGACGCCACATGATGAACAAACAAGCAGGGATTTCTTGTTCTCTTCATACATTCTATTAAAAAAAGAAAGTGAATGGTAATGCATCGGCCAGCGATCCCTGGTATCAAACCCGAGGAGAGGACAACTCCAAGACTGCGAAGAACACTAAGAGAATAACTCGATCAAAACAAACATGGAATCCTAAACAAATTTAAGTAAGAACAAACAAGATCCGACGTGCAAGCGATCTAGGAGAGAATCAAATGTCAACAAAAGTTGCGGATTTTGGTTAAAACACTACGAATTGACACACAGGACGAATACAACGAGCACGAACCATTCGAGAAATCAAAACAACAGATAATACAAAGGAAAAAAAACAATTTAAACAAACAAGCAACGATTAACAAAAAGGGCTGATTAAGCACTCACCATATTTTTAAGTTCGAGTGCAGAAGTTCACCGATCCTTCTGCTGATTGATCAAATAAAAAAGACCCTGATAAGAAATCACGGAGAATAACGAACCCAAAAGAAGATAGAAACTCGAGAAGCCCGAACTGTGAGAAACTTGAAGGAAACAAGAACACAACTCGATACCTGCATCCACTACGCATAGACACAAACCAAGAATTCAAACATACGAATGAAATATCAAGTAAGAGATTGGATCCTTCAGCAGG